CAAAGCCACATTCTCAAACAGGTGCTATTGCTCTTGAGATTTAAACTCATCATGAGAAATCTGATTCCTTGTCAGCAATGAAAACCTCTTTATAGGGAACCTAAATATCCAGTTTGGGTGCTGGGCATCTGTAACCAGCAAGATCCTTTTTTAGTGCTCTGGTTTTGCATACACTATCCTGCAGCACTAACTCTCCCCATAATGAGAATTAGCCTAGAGTGAAGCAGCATCTTTCAGATACTAGATTGTCTAGTTTAGGTAGTGTTGAGCTTAACCTTTGTCTTGTCTATAAAGAATTACTTCTTCAAACACTCTCTTTTCCCAAAGAAGTCAGCCTCTTCCAGCATATTGTCAGGCAACATTTATACAGGCTTTACACAGCACAGGGCTAGGAGTATTTATTAAAAATAATTATCTACAAAAACCCATTCTATAATTAAATCTCCTAACACTATGCTGAAAGTTAGTTCAGGAAAGATGTAGTCCAGCTTCTGTCAGTACCCTTCTGCTCCTTTACAGAATTGCGGACATGACTAGTTTAAGCCTGAAAATTGTTCTAAGATGATTATGTAAGTTGTTAATTTGATTATGTAAGTTGTTAATTTTGCAGGAATGTATTTTCCAATTCAGAAATTTAACTTCTTCATGAATTGGAAAATAAAATAGCCTGTTTTGTATTCACCAAGTACTTCAAGGATAAAGCAGCACATTCCAAATCACCCAGGATCTGAACTCCTAGAGGCTTTCAGTAGGAGCTGCACCCATTGTTGTTGAAAATCCTACCCTAAAATAATCCTGTTATCAGTGTCTGCACGTTTAAAATGCTTATTTTTCTAGTTAAAGATATTAATAAAACTACTACTATTTCTTCAAAATCAATTTCTGAAAAAAAAAAATAATGAAGTGCTTCATAGTTAGGAAAACGAGGATTCCTTTGGACCTCACATTTTATAACTGTGATTTTTTTTGTTCTCCATGCACTAGAAAGATGTATTCATAGGTAAGACCTTAATTTTCAGGTTCAAATAATGTGCTGTTCTACACTCAGGACTATGCACCTCAAACCAGAAAACTACACCTTTTTTTTACAATAAATTTAAGTTTCTTTCACTGGCCCATTCCAAAAGAATATTCCATGCAAATCAGATTCCACTGCCACCAGCATATTGAACTTTGCTATTTGGAAAGGATGTAAAGTCAGCAGGCAGTAAGGGTTCATATTTACACTCGTATAACTTAAAAGTTCATATAAATACAATTTGGACAAGTTTAGAACCTAAGTGATAACATTACATTGCACATGAATTGTCAGGAGTTCATGAACAACAAGTTTTTGGAAGAAAGACATTCACTTTTCTTAAAGTCCCTCTGGCTGTCCTGACTCTGAAGTTCTCTCAGTTGAAGCAATACACTTATTACACATGGGAGAACTTTCAAACTCTACATAGCTCACTGTAACATCATGATTTATGTTTAAGCAGCTTAGCAGAAGCTAAGCAGCTATTAAATCAATCTATATTTTACTTCTTCACAGGAAATTCAACACACTCTGCTGAAAAGTCACACATCCAGACCTGAATTTCAGTAGGAGCTATGCACATGTTCAGCCTTGCATTTGCTTTGATTGCTCCTGCAGTCTGAACCTTTAGTAAGATATTTGGATTTTCATGACAAGAATTTTAATATTTTTCTTCAAAATTGCTCAAAAATTGTAAGTTTTATGTTTTATAGGCAACCTGCATGTTTTCTCCTGGGGAAAAAAGCAGGTATGTCTATAACAAGCAAAATTAAGACTCAACATTAATCAGCCCGTATGTCCTTCTAGGTGGTGATCACAGAAGGATCAGGAAACTTACCAGATCTGTCTGGCTTACCTCTAAGATCAACCTTCCAGAAGCCAATATTCTTCTGTTTATTTCAAAGCACTTTAATTGAAGTGCCATCACTCACACAGTCTCTCTGAATAGAAGGATGTTAACATTTGTCCAACTTTCAGATAATTTATCTAACAACCACATCACACTAAAACTGGTCAAGAACATTAGAGTTAATTTAATTAGGCAGAATTGGCAAATGCCTTAATTTAGAGGCAGAATTTGTTTCAAAATTTATACTATTAACAGAAAATTATACTGGATCACAAAAAACCCCAGGGCTTTTATTTCTTTTGAGAAGTATAATCAAAATACACATTTGCAGGGAAAAAAAAAAAAAGTAGTGATTCTCCATTTCATTTCTTTGCTTTATCTGCAGGAAAACTGACTTCACAGAAGACTGCAAGAAAAAAATCCACATTACCGTAAGATGTATTATCAATATGAACTATAATCTTCAACCTAAGAGACTGAAAAATGTTACAGCTTGAGTATTTCAAATTATTTTGGATGCTTTTTGCAAGAGATGAATCTTTCTCCTTTGTTTAATCTCACAAGCAGTGCTTTACTTCCCTATTTGTGACCAGAATTGTTACAGCGCTGTCATAATGGGTTGAATACCCACTTACTTACATAAAGGTAATTTCTCTTATCTTCTACACTTAATCAGTTTTCTTGAACACTTCAGCTGTAACTCTGCTATGCATGCCATGAGTTACCAGTATTTTATGATAAACCACATAATAGTTTCTACAAGGGGGTAATGTTTTTCAAAACACTGTTGTAGGCCACTCTTCAATACAGCAACTTATGTTGATGAAGTCAACCAGCAAAATAGAATTGAACCCAAGAAATACAATGTCTAAGCAGTGTCAGACAAAATCTCAAGTTTGCTCTTAAAACTTATCCTGAAGTCAAAGCAAAAAATACAGAAAAGCAGCAGATGTTTCTTTGCACTCTTTACTAGGAAAAGCTTTTTGCTCA